ACTGTACTATTACATGTTAATAAAATATAAAGTTAACTAAACTCAAGTATAAAGAAGATACCATGTTGTAAGAAAACGCTTAACAGAAACTACAATTTTATTGATCATGAAAATAATAAAAGAAAAGTATCGAAAAAAAATCGCAATTCTTGACATGGTATCGGTATCGAAACCAAAATGTTGGTATCGTGACAACAGTACTCACACATCTGCGACCCACCAGTTGAGAACCACTGATCTAGAGAATCAGCTCTTTTCATGGCTGCCACTGAGGGACTTCCGGGTCATTTCACTCCGTTAGGAAGGTTCCTAAGCCAGGTGTAGTGGAGAGTTAGAGATAACTCAGTGTTGGCACTAGTTTTGTGTCTATCACCAGGTGTGTCGGCCAGAACACCACTTAAAGCCAAAGGTCCAGAATACAGGAAATGAGGAGCTAAGATGAGGCTTGACTTCTTTATTTATTTAGGCAGACATACAGATATTTGTCTGTGTGTGGTTTTTCCTACAAGGGAAATAAACAAAATACAATCAATATAAGATAACTTATGCATACATAAATAATATACATAATAATGCCAAACCCTATATAAATAATAATCTAGACAAGCTATAAAACAACATGTCTCCCTTCTCTTATAATCATAAACACATTAACATATAATGTCAAACACTCTTTACCAGGCAACACAGAGATTCAAAGTTAAGCTACCGCTAATGAATAACGTTCCACTTCCGGTTGGTGGAAAGCGGCAGCCGGTGCTCTTATTGTGAAACGCTACAGACATGCTACTTCCGGTAGCCGAGTAACGGAGCAACTGTAAACACATAATATCTCACCTTTAACGCCACATAAACATTTATCCACATAAACTACATCCTATTACATTAATAATAGATCTGACTGCCACTCAGCACGGTGTATATACCCCTAACTTTGAGACAGGTGTGCCGACTCACTTGACGAGTGACTTAATGAGCAGCCATAATAAACATGCACGCAGCATGCACCGATCACATGAGCACGGAGACCCTGCATGAAGCCACATCGGCACAGAAGTTATCACAATAATAATAAAGTGTAGAACAACAAACACTCACGTTCATTTACGCACACAATACGAAGCTTAAGACGGCATAACTTTCCTGCAACTACTGACGCACATTACCCTCTGCTGTGTGACGTCACCCAAAACACGTGGGTTAGCCCCTCCCCACTATGAAGGCACAACTTAACAGGTATCAACTCTATATAATAACATTATATATACATAATATATATATATAACTATAACTTTGGGGCCTTTTCTACAGCCGCCCCCAAATGTATATAATACATTTGCTCATCAATAAAAGGCAACAAAGTCCTAAGGCTTGGATGTGATGGCAGGAGTAGAACTGTCCTCATCTTCTCCAGATGGAAGTGCAGGGAGGACCACCAGTCTGGCAACTGGCCGGGCAACTCTGTCCTTGATCTTCACGTCGGCAGACCTTATATGTCCGTCGCTGCTTGGATGCGTCTTGACAACTGTCCCTATGGGCCATAGCGCTCTTGGAAGATGCGGATCAGCGATCATCACCACGGCGTCCTCTTTGATGTCAGCAGGTGTAGCGTGCCACTTCTGACGAGCTTGAAGACTTGGCAAGTAGAGCCTCATGAATCGAGCCCAGAAGTGGTCAGCCAGAACTTGGGAGTGTTTCCAACGGCGGCGACTTATGAGCTCGCTCTCCGGATAGACTACCTGGGGTAGTGAACCATTTGGCCGCCCCATCAGAAGAACATTAGGAGTCACTGGATCTGGGTCGCTGGCATCTGAAGACACATAACCCAAGGGCTTACTGTTGAGGATCAGAAGCTTAGTCATCCAATGACCTAGGTCTAGGATGATAGGGTGGAGAGCTGTCAGTTCCAGGTCTTCTGCCCGACGTAGTCTTCCTCCAACATGGATGAGTTCTCCACTCTCATCTAACTCCGGAGACAGAGTGAGGAGTCGACTGCTTCGAAGAACTGGCTTACCAGCTTTCAGTAGGCTGCACTCCTTTGGGAAGCTATCCCTCTGAACCCTCTGGAGGATCAACCGCTGAGCTTGACGGAAGTCTTCAGCAGTAGGGGGGTCGTTGGATTTGGCCGCCCCATGCAGCTCCAGCACTGTCACCTCCAGCAACTCCTTTCAGGAGTTGGGATGACTGGGGTCTGCAATAGGCTGACTTGATGCTACTGCGGTGACTCCACAGAAAGTGGACTTGCGCAGCTCTGAGGCATCTTCTGTTTGGTGAACGGCTGGATCCTCTGGCCACGAGTCTGGACCCAGCAGGAGAAAGGGGGGTCCCTGGCTCCATCTATTGGTCTCTATGAGCTCCTTCAGCTTCTTACCACGTGTCACGTCATCTGCTGAGTTCCTTGCGGAATCAACGTACCTCCAGTCATTCCTGTCAGTCAGCTCTTGTATCTCAGCTACGCGGGCACCAACGAAGACCATGAACCGGCAGGACTCAGACTTCAACCACGTCAACACTGTTGTGGAATCAGACCACAAGATCGTCCGGTTGATGTTGATGGTGAGTTCCCTTGCCAGAACCTGCGACAACGTGCACCAGTGAGTGCAGCACAGAGTTCCAGTCGGGGCATGGAGTGGAAGCGCTTAGAAGCAACTCTGGAGCGGGCCATCAGGAACGACAGGTACACAACACCATGTCGTCAGTAGTTCGAAGGTACGCCACCGAGCCGTAAGCTTCTTCCGAGGCGTCACAGAATATGTGCAGCTCTCTCTGTAGAGCGGAGATGTCCACTTCCTTTGGTAGGTATGGCCTGGGGCAGGTTGACCTGAGGCAGGACTTGTAGTTCTTCCTCCCAGACTTTCCACTGCTGTAGAAGCTCTTGAGGTAGCAGCGGGTCATCCCATCCACGATGTTTATCCCATAGGTGCCTGACGAGTATTTTTGCCCTGGTTGTGTAGGGTAAGATGAACCCTAGGGGGTCGTACTGACTTGCCAGCACTTTGTAGATGTTGCGCATCATGATTTCACCATAATCCACGATACGATGCTTGTAGCCCAGGATATCCTTTTGGAAGAGCCATCTCAGTACTAATGGATTCTGGGACATCTGTCTTGTTCTGAGCCAACCATAGCTCAACACTGGTAGAGCGAGTCTCTTCTGACTGATGACCTCTGGTTGATTGCTGGCCCATTGACGCAGCTCGAAGCCTGCAGATGCTAGGATGGCTCGTAACTTGTCGACCAGGTGCCTCGCCTCAGCAATGGTGGGGACGCTCTGTAGACAGTTGTCTACATAAAAGCACTTCTCGACTGAGCTCCTCACCTCTTCATCTGGCTGACTATGGTCGATGACGTGGCGCTGAAGGGCAAACGTTGCACAGCAGGGGCTACACGTCATTCCAAAAGGTAACACTTGCCACTCGTACACCGCAGAAGGATCTTGACTGCTGTCTCGCCAAACAAATCTGAGCAGGTCTCAATCTTCTGGGAGGAGTCAAACCTGGTGGAACATGCCCTTGATATCTCCACTGATTGCTACTGCAAGCTCTCGGAAGCGTAGCAGGACTCCCAGGAGAGATGCTCCTAAGGTCGGCCCAGGCAACAGATAGTCATTGAGATTTTGCCCTCGATACTGAAATGAGCATTTGAACACCAGCCTGTTCTTGCCATTATGGCTTACCATGTGGTGAGGAATGTACCACGACTCACAACCTTCCTCTACTGGTACTTCAGGGTCACACTTGATGACAGAGCCTGCCTTGATCAGCTTTTCCATCTCCACTTTGTAGGCTTCAGCCTGCATAAGGTTCTTGGCCAATCTCCTTTCTATACTCCGTAGACTGTGCATGACAGCTTCTTTAGTAGCTTGAAGGAGTGGCATGTCTTTCCGGCGTAGCAGCGGGGTGGCATAACGGAATATGTCGTTAACCTGTACTCTGATGGTTTTGGTCTCCAGGATACCGATGGCCTCTTGGTCCTCCCTCGAACGTGTGACTAGTTTATCGCTTCTGAAAGGAAGAGTGTCAACATGCTTCGTCAGCTCACTCACTTGTGGTGATACTGATGTGAAAAGGCACTGCTGTGGTTGTGCCAGATGATAGACAACACTGGCTGGCCTTGCAGCGTCCAGCCTAGTGTGCCTTTTGATGTGATACAGTTTTGATTCCATCATCTCATTAAACCTTTTTAAAGCATACTTTAGTTCTGTGAAGGGATATAAGGGAAATATGCACTGTACTTCACTTTAATTTATAATGTATGCTGAAAAGCGTATATATACTACAGCATCATTTTCTGTTGAATAGATTTGAGTGGTTCAACATTTCGGGTCGCGATTTATTGACAAAGGAAAAAGTGGGTCCCGAGGCCTGACCAGCTGAGAACCACTGTCCTAAGCTAAATTGACTATTCGACCGCAACCCTGGCCCTCCTCTCTTCTTCAGGTGTTTCTAACCTGGCCCTCCTCTCTTCTTCAGGTGTTTCTAACCTGAGCCTCCTCTCTTCTTCAGGTGTTTCTAACCTGGGCCTCCTCTCTTCTTCAGGTGTTTCTAACCTGGGCCTCCTCTCTTCTTCAGGTGTTTCTAACCTGAGCCTCCTCTCTTCTTCAGGTGTTTCTAACCTGGGCCTCCTCTCTTCTTCAGGTGTTTCTAACCTGGCCCTCCTCTCTTCTTCAGGTGTTTCTAACCTGGCCCTCCTCTCTTCTTCAGGTGTTTCTAACCTGAGCCTCCTCTCTTCTTCAGGTGTTTCTAACCTGAGCCTCCTCTCTTCTTCAGGTGTTTCTAACCTGAGCCTCCTCTCTTCTTCGGGTGTTTCTAACCTGGGCCTCCTCTCTTCTTCAGGTGTTTCTAACCTGAGCCTCCTCTCTTCTTCAGGTGTTTCTAACCTGAGCCTCCTCTCTTCTTCAGGTGTTTCTAACCTGAGCCTCCTCTCTTCTTCAGGTGTTTCTAGCCTGAGCCTCCTCTCTTCTTCAGGTGTTTCTAACCTGAGCCTCCTCTCTTCTTCAGGTGTTTTCTTTGCAGAGGGTGAACCCCTCTCGTCTTCAGAGGATTGTAACGAACAGTATCCGAGGGTTCTCCGTGTTGATGGTTCCCATCGCCGCTACAGTTCCCTCTGTGAGTAACAGTTCCCTCTGTGAGTGACAGTTCCCTCTGTGAGTGACAGTTCCCTCTGTGAGTAGCAGTTCCCTCTGAGTGACAGTTCCCTCTGTGAGTGACAGTTCCCTCTGTGAGTGACAGTTCCCTCTGAGTGACAGTTCCCTCTGTGAGTGACAGTTCCCTCTGAGTGACAGTTCAAGTGTTTTTTGTTTCATGTATTCACTGTTTCATGTGTTCATGGGATCACTTGTTCAAGTATTGAGTGCTCCATGTGTTCATGTCCCCCTTCAGGGTCTGGCTCTGTACTGGCTTTCCTCCTCTCTGATTGGTCTGTCCCACAACCTGCTCCTCAGGTCCCGCCTCCTCCACAGACTCCTCCGACTGAAGACTGTCCGTCAGTCTGAGACTCCGTACAGAGACCTGCTGAGCGCCTTCAAGTCAAAATACTGCAGATAAACACACACACACACACACACACACACACACACACACACACACACACACACTTACTTTTTGAGGAGAAGTGTTCTGATGTGTCATTAATTGTCTAATCTGTGTGTTCTTCAATCAAATAAAACTTCCACATTTGGTGTTTCTTTTTTCACGTCTGTAACCAATAAAACAATCAACAGTTAAATCTAATGATATCTAAAGTGTATTAATGTGTTGCTGTGTCTGAGTTTCAGTAAACAGGAAGTGCAGCCACCTCTGAAGCATTTCCTGTTCTGTGTTTACGACCTGAAAGAAGTGAAACAGGTTTTAAATATATAAGATCATTTAATCTAAATATTATTATTTAATTATTATTTATTATTGTCTTTATTATTATATTGTTGTTCCCGCCCTGGGTTCGGTCTGTAAGGAGGAGTCAAGTCTAAAGCCTGCCTCAACCTCACAGAGCCGAACAGAAGCAGAGAGACAGCGACGCGGTAGGTGTGTGTGTGTGTGTGTGTACGTGTTAGACTTTATATATTTTCTAGGGCTGTCAGTCGATTAAAATAGTTAATCGCGATTAATCGCAAATTAATCGCACATTTTTGATCTGTTCTAAATGTACCTTAGAGAAATATTTTTCAAGTTTTTAATACTTTTATCAACATATGAGTGGACAAATATGCTTTATGCTAATGTTTATTATCATTTGAACAATGACAAATATTCTCATGAATATTAAACACAACAACCTCTGAACATTACAAATATTCGCCTCAATTCAACCTGGAACCTCTCATACAATTGTGTGTGTGTGTGTGTGTGTGTGTGTGTGTGTGTGTGTGTGTGTGTGTGTGTGTGTGTGTGTGTGTGTGTGTGTGTGTGTGTGTGTGTGTGTGTGTGTGTGTGTGTGTGTGTGTGTGTGTGTGTGTGTGTGTGTGTGTGTGTGTGTGTGTGTGTGTGTGTGTGTGTGTGTGTGTGTGTGTGTGTGTGTGTGTGTGATCGTTGGAGCTATGTGCAACTCAAGGCATATGCTCGAACCGGAGCTGCCTGGACGCTGCAATCATGTTGCGCACTATCCGTGCTGAGTGTGCTGACTTCTCGTACAATGTCCCACTGTCTGGCTTCCTGCATAAAGTCAAGTGCTCGGCGCAGTTGTGGCGAAATATCGCTCCTCTGTTTTCATTTAAACAGCTCCTTATATCCGTTAGCGCAGCTAGCTAGCACCAGATGCTAACAACAGCACGTAAGGTCTCTCTCTCGCTCGCTCGGGCCACACATACACACACCCTCCCGGTCCTCCCAATAGCCAGTCGGTGCCTGCCGGTGAGCGTGGAAGTGTGGTCTGCCACAAGCGGGCAGCAGGAGCGGGGCTGTCAGCATCAGCTTGTAGATGGTATTTTAAACTCGATGCGCTCTGAAACCACGGGGCGGCCGAGGAAAAAAAATACACATGCGTTAATATAATTAGTGGCGTTAATTTTTTTTGCGTTAACGCGTTATTAACTTGACAGCCCTAATATTTTCATATAGTTTATTAGGGAATCTGCACGTCCACAAGATGAAATGGAAATATACAAAAACAACTAATTTTCTCCCTCTCTCTCTTCTCTTGATCGCCCACTCAGTCTTCTATCGCCCTCTCCTCTTGATCGCCCTCTCTCTCTCCTCTTGATTGCCCTCTCTCTCTTCTCTTGATCGCCCACTCAGTCTTCTATCGCCCTCTCTCTCTCCTCTTGATCGCCCTCTCTCTCTCCTCTTGATCGCTCTCTCTCTTCTCTTGATCGCCCTCTCTCTCTCCTCTTGATCTCTCTCTTCTGTTGATCGCCCCTCTCTCTCCTCTTGATTGCCCTCTCTCTCTCCTCTTGATCTTTCTCTCCTCTTGATCGCGCTCTCTCTCTCCTCTTGATTGCCTTCTCTCTCTCCTCTTGATCTCTCTCTCCTCTTGATCTCTCTCTCCTCTTGATCGCCCTCTCTATCTCCTCTTGATCGCCCTCTCTCTCTCCTCTTGATCTCCCTCTCTCTCCTCTTGATCTCTCTCTTCTGTTGATCGCCCTCTCTCTCTCCTCTTGATCACCCTCTCTCTCTCCTCTTGATCGCCCTCTCTCTCTCCTCTTGATCTCTCTCTCCTCTTGATCGCCCTCTCTCTCTCCTCTTGATCTCTCTCTCCTCTTGATCGCCCTCTCTCTCTCCTCTTGATCTCTCTCTCCTCTTGATCGCCCTCTCTCTCTCCTCTTGATCTCTCTCTCCTCTTGATCGCCCTCTCTCTCTCCTCTTGATCGACCTCTCGCTCTCCTCTTGATCGCCCTCTCTCTCCTCTTGATCGCCCTCTCTCTCTCCTCTTGATCGCCCTCTCTCTCCTCTTGATCTCTCTCTCTCCTCTTGATCTCTCTCATCTTGATCACCCTCTCTCTCTCCTCTTGATCTCTCTCTCCTCTTGATCGCCCTCTCTCTCTCCTCTTGATCTCTCTCTCCACTTGATCGCCCACTCTCTCTCCTCTTGATCACCCTCTCTCTCCTCTTGATCGCCCTCTCTCTCTCCTCTTGATTGCCCTCTCTCTCTCCTCTTGATCACCCTCTCTCTCTCCTCTTGATCTCTCTCTCTCCTCTTGATCGCCCTCTCTCTCCTCTTGATCTCTCTCTTCTGTTAATCGCCCTCTCTCTCTCCTCTTGATCGCCCTCTCTCTCTCCTCTTGATCTCTCTCTCCTCTTGATCGCCCTCTCTCTCTCCTCTTGATTGCCCTCTCTCTCTCCTCTTGATCTCTCTCTCCTCTTGATCTCTCTCTCCTCTTGATCGCCCTCTCTCTCCTCTTGATCTCTCTCTCCTCTTGATCGCCCTCTCTCTCTCCTCTTGATTGCCCTCTCTCTCTCCTCTTGATCTCTCTCTCCTCTTGATCGCCCTCTCTCTCCTCTTGATCTCTCTCTCCTCTTGATCGCCCTCTCTCTTTCCTCTTGATCTCTCTCTCCTCTTGATCTCTCTCTCCTCTTGATCGCCCTCTCTCTCTCCTCTTGATCTCTCTCTCCTCTTGATCGCCCTCTCTCTCCTCTTGATCTCTCTCTCCTCTTGATCGCCCTCTCTCTTTCCTCTTGATCTCTCTCTCCTCTTGATCTCTCTCTCCTCTTGATCACCCTCTCTCTCTCCTCTTGATCTCTCTCTCTCCTCTTGATCGCCCTCTCTCTCCTCTTGATCTCTCTCTTCTGTTAATCGCCCTCTCTCTCTCCTCTTGATCGCCCTCTCTCTCTCCTCTTGATCTCTCTCTCCTCTTGATCGCCCTCTCTCTCTCCTCTTGATTGCCCTCTCTCTCTCCTCTTGATCTCTCTCTCCTCTTGATCTCTCTCTCCTCTTGATCGCCCTCTCTCTCCTCTTGATCTCTCTCTCCTCTTGATCGCCCTCTCTCTTTCCTCTTGATCTCTCTCTCCTCTTGATCTCTCTCTCCTCTTGATCGCCCTCTCTCTCTCCTCTTGATCTCTCTCTCCTCTTGATTGCCCTCTCTCTCTCCTCTTGATCTCTCTCTCCTCTTGATCGCCCTCTCTCTCCTCTTGATCTCTCTCTCCTCTTGATCGCCCTCTCTCTTTCCTCTTGATCTCTCTCTCCTCTTGATCTCTCTCTCCTCTTGATCGCCCTCTCTCTCTCCTCTTGATCTCTCTCTCCTCTTGATCGCCCTCTCTCTCCTCTTGATCTCTCTCTCCTCTTGATCGCCCTCTCTCTTTCCTCTTGATCTCTCTCTCCTCTTGATCTCTCTCTCCTCTTGATCACCCTCTCTCTCTCCTCTTGATCGCCCTCTCACAGGAGAACACTTCACTGTAGGATTTCTGCCATGTCTCTACTTTAGTTTGAGCATCTCTGATATGAAGTTATGGAATACTGAATAAATAAGTAATTAGATTCCTTTCCGTCACTGCGCTCATAAAGAATGATAAGAATAGAATAATGTGAATTGAACAGGGTTCATGAATTAGTGAGTTTATTTAAGGTAAGTAGTTAGAAGCCCTATGTTTGTCTGCACAGCCGTTACAATGGGTAAACTACATTAAAACACAACTGTCACCATTCTTTCTTTAATAGTTACTAACATATTTTACTGGGATAAAAACTAAAGATGTCCCTGGTTTAATTTTATCAAGTCAAGTCACTGAAAGCAAGTAGTCGCCTTAGCTTATTAATAATAATAATTCCTTACATTTATTATAGCGCTTTATCAATGACTCAAAGCGCTTTACATATACACACATTACACATATATCATACATGTAATGGTCAGATACTGTGGACAATACCCACAGGAGCAAGTTCAGGTGAAGTGTCTTGCCCAAGGACACACCGGCTTTACAGACGCAGCAGCGGCGGGTTTCACCCCTTGATCTGATGATCATTGCACAGCGCACTGCGCCACACCGTCCATCTTCACGCCTCGAGGTCATCGAGGCGCTTTTACAGGTACACATTGGTATTATACATGTACTGTGAACGATACCCACAGGAGCAAATCCGGGTGAAGTGTCTTGCCCAAGGACACAACGGCCTGACGCAGTGGCGGCAGGAGCGGGTTTCGAACTGGAGTTCCCCAGCACTCCCCCTTGATCTGATGATCGGATGCACAGACCACTGCGCCACCCGTAGCAGCGATGTTTGCAGTGAAGGACAGGTTGTTATGTTATGTTCTAGGGTCACACCCAGATTCCTTGCAGTCTGAGTCGGGGAAACAACACAGGGGCCGATGTTGATTGTCAGGTCAAGAGTGGGACAATCTTTTCCCGGAAGGAAGAGCAGTTCAGTCTTGTCAAGGTTGAGCTTGAGGTGGTGAGCAGACATCCACTGAGAGATGTCAGCTAGACAAGCAGAGATGCGTGCGACGACCTGGGTCTCTGAGCGGGGAAAGGACAGAATTAATTGGGTGTCGTCAGCGTAGCAGTGGTATGAAAAACCATGCGGGCTAATGACTGATCCGAGCGAGTTTGTGTACAAGGAGAAGAGGAGGGGACCAAGAACAGAGTCCTGAGCGACCCCTGTAGTTAATTAGGGATGGGTATCGTTTGAAATTTATCGATTCCGATTTCGATTCCGGTTCTGCTTATCGATTCCGGTTCTTATCGATTCCTCGTTTCGATTCCAAAATTGTAAAATAAAGAGGTCAAACGTATTGATAACAAAAATATATTTATTCTTAAAAGCTTTAACTGAAATTGTTACTAAAAAATATACATGCAAT